TTCTGAACATCACGTTGGAAGGCATCCCTAATATGTTCAATAAAGTTCTTGTCTGGGGATTTTGGTGGCTAGCGGAAGTGTCTAAATTCAGAAGAGTGCCGCTGGCCACCAAAATCCCCAGACATGAACATTATACTCCCTCTTACTCCAACTGGTTCATGTACAGCCCTGCAGGATTCATGGTGTCAATTATCTCCAGCACTACTTCACACATTGATCGAATCCATGCCGCGTCGTGTTGCGGCACTTCTGCGAGCTCGCGGGTACCCTACAAGATATTAGGCAGGTATACCAGTTTTTTTTGGCTCTTCAGTGTATATAACAGAAACATGATCATGAAATAGTACAGTAAGCTTTTTGCTGCGAGATTCTACAATGGTTATCATTCAATGAAAATTGAAAAAATAGTGATAATTCTCCCAAAAATAGTAAATTCCAATGAAATTTTAATATGGTGTTAAATAAGAGTTGATAAGTAAAATTACAATATGTAAATTAGTGGCGCTGCAATAGAATGATGCCATCTGTAATTAGCATAAATTGTATGTCTTATGGCAAGGCAGCAAATTTCGTTGTGCTTCTTAAATTAAAAATTTAAGATAGCCAATTTGCAAAAGTGACCCCCAGGCACCATTTGTCCAAGGAACTGAAATGGAGATGTGCGATAAAAGACTAAAGGCAGCACAAAGACAGATAGAAGTTGCCAGATGATAAAATAGGAGTCTTTCTGTGGTTCATAGACTTGGGCAACAATTTCTAACCATAGGCTCGGCATCCAGATGGTTTAGCCAAGAACGGCAAAATACTGTGACGTGCGCCGATAGCCAATAATCATCGTTATGCGCTTGAAAGAATTTAAACGCAACACAGAGTCAGCTCAAATTCTTAATGCATCTACCGGGAGATAGGTGTCAACGTATACTGTGCCTAGAAGGCTTTATGAACGTGGTTTGTTTGCTATACAACAAGCCCTTTGAATGTCACTCTCATAACGCTTTATAAAGGAATGTTTGAGGTGGGTACAGCAATATGTCCACTAATCGGCTGACCTATAGAGGGCACATGGGAGTTTAGATATAGCCTTATTAGATATAGTCCTTTATTAGATATAGTCCTCCACATTTGAGTCCAGATATAGCCGAGATATGCTTTTTTTGGAAAAAAGAAAGATTCGTGATAAAATTTATCTTTATTTCTCAATTGTCTTCATATCTATGAGCAACCTCCACATTGCCAACATAATGAACAACACTGTTTTTTCTAATTTATTTATTTAATTAATTATTTATGTTTATTTCATTTATTGATTTATTTGTTTTTTTTTTTGTCAAAATTTGACGAGCTTAAAATTGTTAACTTTTATTATTAGGTTAACTTAGTCAAAAAATTTCGATTTCAATTCTTCAAACTCTTATGTCTGGTGTTAAAATTCTGATTTACCTAGCGAGTCTCTGACAAAATCTCCTTCAAATTTTCTTAAAACCTATAAAACTTTCATGTTAATTGTTTTATATATTTTTTAGATAGAAATTACAATTTGATAATTTTTATCATTTTACGAAATAATTCTTAAAATAAATAACATAAAATATCATTTGTAATCAGTTCATACATTTTTTTCCATTGAAAGTTGAAGGAAGACAGTGTGGAGGTGACATGTCTGTTATAACCCCACCACCATGTGGCTATATTAGCCCCACGAAGGCATGTGTTAGTTGCTTCTTAAATCTGATTTATTGATGCTATATAGAGCAAAATTTAATATCAAAATAGTTTTAAAAAAAACAAACAATAGAACTTATAATATATTATCACTTTTTGCTGATATTCTGAAAATAAATTATGTTAATGAAAATATGAAAAGAAAGTTTGAGAGTTACTTTTGTACCTTTGTAAGCCTTGTTTTACAAATTTCAACTTAAATAATCACTGTGAGATTATGTAACTACACATGGGACTTTACATCAGTTTTTCTAATCTGCGATACCTCACAGAAAACATTTGACCAATAAATGCTAAACTTTTTCAAGATATCTATTCTAGCACAATGTCCAGAACAGCCCCCCTCTCTCCAATGCTAGATTTGTTTTATTGAAATTTGTGTTATATTATATTATTCAGTATGTTATATTATTTATTATTATGTTATATTATTTATTGTTATGTTATATTATTTATTGTTATGTTATATTATTTATTGTTATATTATATAACTTTTTCGTAACGTATATCCTATTTTTTTGTATTTCGTAAACGCACCAGTAAAATTTAATAGCTGTAGTTTTTATTTACTTTTTTTGCTGTAATTGCAGCAAACATTACAATCAATTGCATTGAATGTTGGCTACTGTAAGAATGGAATTCAGTATAATTTAATAACAAACAAATCAAATGTTGAATGAAGTACTTTTACTCAAATTTTGTACCTACGAAAAGTTGAAGTTGTGTGCTGTGTTGTTGAGGTACTAACATCTGGCGTAGAAGTTAAAGCTGTAAAAAATATAATTCAAAATAATCAATGAAAATAGAACTATAAGAGTAAAACAAATTATATTTCATTTGAATTATAACCTAAGGATATTAAACCAATTTCAAATATTTTAATGATAATAATAATAATGATTTCAGATTTTTAATGCCTTCGTAACTTAATCATTATGGAGTTTATAATCCCCTTTTTTATTAAAGATATATAAGCAAATATCGCGCTGAAGATCATATTTACGGAGTTAGTTCTATTGTATTTCTTCAAAATTTATCTTCATTTAACTAAAAGTATTTATTATTAAAGACTCGACAGTGGACTGATCGTTAAGACACGGTTCCCAGCAGATCACCGAAGTCAAGCATCACTGGCTGCGGTCAATGTGCGGGTGGGTGACCACTTGGATCAGTCTGCGTAGGGACCGAGTGTGTGCGGTATTGGTCCTCGTTAAACTGTGCTACCGTAAAGTGCTCGACTTCGCGCAGGTCGTCGGGCTACCGAAGCGGGGGTGCCATCCCCTCCGCAGAGGATCAAAATTGTGATGGCATGTCTTCGGATCATCCTCCGGGATGTTTCCCAGACCGTCGCCAATAGCCCATTGTGCAGCTCTAGTGCGACGTAAAATTAACAACAACAACATATTAAGACTCGATTAAATATTTTAATTGTCTGTTTACCTACCACTCCTTAAATTATTTCTGATACAAGTACAATCCGACGTTAATATTTTCCATAGATAGCGTTTTGTGCGCTGTTAATCGGCTTTTAACTTAGATTTGGATTAACCATCTTCAATGAAGAAAATTTTTAGAGCTTCAAATATTCAAGGGAATAATCAACGGGATTCTAACCCACGATGCATCTAACACTGATAATATTTTACATCAGCATTGTGATCGGTGCGATCTGAGAACCGAGTTTAATTAGACAAGCAATCGCTGGGATTCGATCCTAGATCAACTCAATAGGAGGTGATTGCTATATGTCCTGTGTCACCGCGTCTCTGGTACTTTTAAACCATTTAAACGTTAAAATTTCTTTAAGTAAATTACCTAAAAATGTTTACTCTTCCTAAAGAGATGCTGACATTTTTGAAAATAGCTCCTACATTGTTGACGAGGAAAAAATTATTCTTTTCATAAGGCTTTCGTTCTGGTTTATAACTGGAAAAATATCCGATTGTGATGATTTTTTCACCAGACTATGTGACTAGAACAGATCCATCCGCAACGATGCGTCAGTTAGAATAATTTACATGCACTTTTGCTTTTCGCGTATCGTATATTTAATGGAACAGAAATGTCCAACTATGCCTTATATTTTTCATGTCTATGTTTAAGAGTATTTATTCAAGAAATATTCAATTCCGATCAAAGGAAAAATTAGGAAAGAAAAAATAAGAAAAGAAAAATATTCCACAATACTTACGTAAACACATTTCACTGTCTCTATCATATACCAGAGAGTCGCCTATGCATAAACATTCGGCATTTTTTGACGTCACATTGAATCCGCACACTAAACCACTGGTTATATTACACTCTAAGGTCTCATTCACACAGTCAATGACATGTTCACATCTATTTCCATAAGTACCAGGATGACAAATACAAAAATCATTACCGAAGATACCTTTATTACTACACGAGGCACCATTTAAGCAATCATCATATTCTGGACTGCAATTCTCTACAACAAATAATAAATGTTAGTACAGTTTTCGGATTAAATAACTGTTTTTTAGCTTCATTTTGAAACAAAAAGTATGTAATCAGAAAACATGTTTAAACCCCCCTTCTAAATTAAAAAGAAAGATCATTTAAAAATAGTTGATTCAAATATATTTCCTTCTTTTTCTATTGTTGTACAATTTACGTTCAGTCGTAATTAATACACCAATGATGAGCTATTTATTTTGAACATAGCTCTAAATTTGTGTTTAAGAATGACACATCTGGAAATCTATGTTTAAGAAAATGAACACAGATGTAATGAGTGTTTACGAAGTTACTGTAAAAAATGCACCTTTTTAATGCTCAAACCAAATTTAATAACTAAACTTGGAATTCCGTACTTACTTTTCCTTACTTTTTAAAACTCTTAGCATAATTATTATGCTGCCAAGTCCTGAACATCGGAATCGGGGTGGCTAGATACGTTACACATGTCATTTTTTACATGTTGTCTTCCTATTCAGAGCTCTAAACAATAAAGTGAGTTTTAAAATCCTGAATTCCTACAACGTAAATTTACTACCATTATTATAAATTTAAAGCAATCATGCTGAAAGCAACTGTTGACTTTAAAGCACTTTTTAAAAAAAGACTAATTTAATAAGACGTACCAAGTGATTTGCGCAAAATGACGATATTACACTACGAATTTCCTAGATTTGAGTGAATTAATCTTTACAAATACTCATAAAAGAAATATGAAATACGGAATCAAATGACATATCCATTTTTGTAAATTGCTATGTTCATTTTCTTAAACACGCATTTTGAGTTTTTGACAGACTTACAATCTCCCCGAGAACATGCTGGGTGTTAAAAAGATATCTGACTATTGGAAAAATGGGCGAAGAGAAAAATGGAAACATAAGATTAACAAATTTATTCTGATTAAGTTTCGAAAATTTATTGCAAATTTCGCCTAAAATTCGCGTTGCCAACAGAAAAAGCTTTAATGTATTGTCATTTGCAACAACAACGGAGTACGGTCTGAATGCAAAATTACTACATGGTGTTATAAATACAACAGAAAACATTGTAAATAGTTTTTTTTACGAGTTGACAGAGTGACAAATTTATTAAATACATTACAAAAACTATGGTGTAATATCTTTCTGAATTTGGTGTACATACAATTCAGTATAGGAAATGCAACAATTTCAGTAATAACAGATAATATAACAGATATTTCTATTCATATGACAATTTAAGAAAATTATGTATTTAATTTACTTGTGAGTCTTGTGATTTAGTTAAGGCCGTAGTTTAGTAGGAGGGAAAGGGGGACAATTGTTCTAGGTACCGGGACTTCTCAAGAAACGGTTCCTTACGAAAAGTATGGTGCTTATTATTTTTTTAAAGGAAAATTGCAGATAGTTTCCTTACATCTACATAAAAACTACGATTTTGTATATAGGATCTTCAAAAAGTCTATAAATATTAAAATAAGGCTTTTTGTGCTTTGAAGATTGTTGTTGTAGTTCATTTACATCGCACTTTTATTTGATAGTTTTTCTGTATGTATGGTAACGGTATACGTTCAATTCTGGTTTTCAAGTTTTTAGTTTTTATTACCACACGTTTAATAAAAAATACAAAACTAAAAAGGAAATTTTATCGAATAAATGGTTTCCATGGCATGTTGTTAAGATATCATGCATAAAAAAATTATTATAATAAATTATTTTAAAGTAACATTTAATACCTTAATGATTTCAATTAAGAAGTAAAGATGAATTGAACAATGAGAGACTATAGATAAAATTACCAAGATATTATTTTTGGTAAATTCTTTACAACATAGCGTTTTAAGGAACACAGTTCCTAAACGTAATTTATGTAAGACTTTCACAGAGGAGTAAGTCAGCGTTTTCTCAAAACTTGCATTCAGAAAACTTGCTATGTTATGTAAATGTATGTATTCTGTAAATCTGATATGAAACCGGAAAAGAAAAGCATAACAATAGTGCTAACATATAACAACAGTAGCGCTAATGTAACACCTATATATATATTTCTCTTACACGGCGACAAAAAAAGCCTCATTTCAACTCCCCGAATGGCAACGCTAGAAAATCGACCAATGATTGCTGCTAAAAATGTCACATGCCAAATCTAGCTAAGGTGGCTCAACATGCAGCGCTTTTAAAAACGGAAACTGAGAAAACATCAGTTGCGGCAATCTCAGCTAGGCAGACGTGAGTAGTCTTTGTCGATACATCTCTATTTTAGTATTTGGTCGAAAGCGCTTTTTTTCACGAATTTATATATTACGAATTTATTTGACGATTTTTGATTTATTTCACGAAATTTTTGCTTTATTAATGTTATTAGTTACTCATTGAAAAATGAGTCTGAGTCGTGCTGTTACGTTTCAAGATTTTATACTATAGCACATTTCTAATAGGTTTAACGAATTACATGTCATTTATTTGAATTCAAATTTATTTTAATGACTTAGTATTTACAAAGTAAGGTAAAAAAAAGTTTAAGAGCACAAAAAATTTAAGAAAGCAGACAGCTGTTTCGGATACTCAAAGGGCAACCTTCATCAGTGCAGAAAACAGGGTAAATATATATAGAAAGATGACGTCACAAGAGGGTTTAGAGCAACGGCCAATAGGAGGGAAGGGTGAGTGGATGACGACGAATAGGAAGCAAGGAACAAAAATTTCTGTATTTACTTAGTATTTACTATAAAGATGTAATTTTTTTTTTTTTAAAAAA